TATGGGTTTGCCAACCCCCACTGCCCAAATCTAGTGAATAATATCGCCTTTCTTTTGGATGAAATGGGATTAGCACATATTTATTGGTCCTAAAAATCGATCAAGAGACATAGGATTCTTAACGGTTCGAAGGTGAGAGGCTCCATGGAGATCCATCATTACTGAGGAAGCTGTGTCCCCTGCAGCAGACTATAGCTGGAAGGATGTGAGAAAACAGAACTATCCTGCTTGCTGTGGAGTGGGGTGGAGAGGAACAAAGAGCACTGTGGCTGAGCAGGTAGAGGGATGGATGGGCAGGTAGTGGGAGTTGAAACTAACTGGACTTGCTGCAAGACACTGAGGAAACTTTTCACCTGTCCCTGTGCCACATCTCCAACTATAAAATGAGATGAGCCTAGCTTTTCCTTATAAATAAATCTAACTAACTCTCTTTATGAATGACTTTCCTTATAAATAGCTTGCCTTATAAATAGCTTACATGGCAAACACTACATAGGACATAACGGGCTCTGTGGCATTTTTCATAATAAACACATTTCTAAACCCAAATAGCTCAGTAAAACAGTTACAGATGCTATGCTACTTAAGGGAAGCATGTGCTTTCAAAATGTGTTGTTAGGATAAAAACCCAATTCATTGGACTGATTTAAATGTATTAGCAAGCATCTAACCTGCAGTAATTGCAAAAATCTAATTACAAAATTAAAATTATTATCAAGGCACCCCTCAATGTTCATGATACTGCGTCTATTTTACACAGAAATTAATAATATCTGAAGCATCCCATAAAATAAACAATATAATCCCTAACTAAAGAAGGAGTTGTTTTTTGCAAATCTTTTGGGTTAGAGTTAAAATAAGTAACTTTACCGATTAGTCACAGAGTGTTTGCTTACTCGGGCTGGAAGCCAGTCCATGTCAGCAGTCCCTGGAGTAAATCCATGTGCAACAGCCCAGTGTCACAGAGATGCCCCAAGTGACAGTGACTAACAGTGCAAAGGGGTGTCTTGTGATCCCAATTCATGTGCACACAGGGCAAGACCCACATCTTCCAACACATATGAAGACAAGCTGTAACCTCAGACTGAGATGGTTCACCAGGGAAACTGCTTCACTTGAAAGACCCCATCTGCTCCCCTTTCTTAAAACATTCTTGCCATTAAGAGGATTCTTGCATCCTCCTCTACTTGTAGATTGCATACATAGATTGTATTGACTGTATGCTATACATACATTGTAGATTATACACTGGGCAATGCTTATTGGCGACCCCAACATGATGCCATTTGCTGGAGAAAATAAAACACTTCAGTCCATTTTTTTTTTACTTCTGCCAATGGCCAGAAAATGGTGATTAGCTGGGAAATGTTTGAACAAGCATTGGCAAGTCAGTGCCTCTTTGCAGTGTGGATACTTTGGGATTCTTCCTGACTTTGTCTGGTTCTTCAGAAGACAAGTTCACATCAGGGCCTTCCTTTCCATCATCTTCCAGGAATTGCTTTTCACTTCTGAGAATTACCAAGTGCCAAGAGTGATGGCTGAGGTGGTTGCTGGTGGAGCAGGCAGAGAGGATGAACTTTACCTAGTTAGCAGGAACATACTGATCTTGTCAAATATTTCTGACAAAGCATTCAGTGGTTTCATTTCAGTTAGGGTCAAAGAAACCTTCACTTCTACAAGATAAAAAAGTCCCATTTAAATTATCTTAAGGCAACCATGAAGTTCAGTTCTCCAATCCTGTCAAAACAAGGGTCTTCAACCAGGTGCTCCTGGTACCACCTATCAACAGGACTATTTCTCTATACAGGCAGTTGTTTGTGAAACTTGGCTTAGCCCTTTCACAACACCCTCTTAGCACTTTCCAAGAGCCATTTAGCACTTAGAACAGCAAGCAATATGTGGCAAAGGACATGGGAAAAGAAGAGGGATATATTAGGATCGACTGCTGTTTGAGGGAATTTGCGTATTAAAGTAGATTATAGTATCAGAAATAGTAATTGGGTACTGTTGTGGGGAAAAAAAACCCAACCCAACCAACCTTCCAGGGATAAATTTCTCCAGACTCTGGTTCTGACTACTTTTTAACCAAATCAAAATCTGCAGTCACCAGAAGCTCACTGGAATCTTTGTTTTTGTTAATTTTTTGAACTTAGTCGCCATCTCCTGAAGAAATTACCAATTATCCAGATATTTCCCCCTCTAAATAAGTATGCACTACAGCTGAGAAACTGCCCATGGAGGAGCTGTTAAAAGGAATATGATGTTTGGTGAACTGTTCCAGGATAAGCTGTTCCTGAGCAGCTTCCTGTTTCTATCATTGTCAGCTCTAGTGTCCATGATTTGGATTTCAAACTGAAGTCTTCCATGTCTGATACTCCACTGCTGCACTTCGCTGCAGTCTCTGCAGTGCTTTGTGGCTGGGAAAAATCTGCCCATGCTCTCTCTGGAGCAGAGAGCTCAGCCCTTACATGCATTTTATAATTCTTTATATTTCCCAGCTTATATACAGATAATTTTCTGAGTACTTTCTTACCAAATGCAATGCGCAGTGTGTTCAGTTTCACCATGTTTTTTACAGATTTTTCATAAGTTGGCATCACTTTATAGATGTTTCACTGATTTCCTCTTCTGTTTCTATGGATGTTCTTTCCTCTGCATGACCTGGAGACAGCTTGGCAACTCCAGGCAGCCTAAAGAGCCACTTCTATGCAGAAACTGCAGGTCCTAGAGTATGCTGAGCCAACATCAAAGATAAAACATTAAAGATACTGACACAGCAATGGCACTGGCAATCAGCTCTTGCACGTGTGAAGAATCTCTAAGGATGCCCTTATGCAGCTTCTTCTTCTATCCCTCTGATTAAGGTGATCTGCTACCATTTTACCTCACTTTGTCAAATGTATGTTTGTCAGGGCAGTCTGCTGTCACCAAGAACATTAATGTCAGTGCAACTTCCCACGTTCTGCTAATTATCCTCTATCTGATACAACTTTGATCACTTCATGAATAGGGGATTTTCCCTTTAGCCAAGCACTAAGAATGCTTTATAAATTCTAGTTTTTACAAGGGTGGGGAGCTAACCTTGGTTAACTCTGAACTTTACTTTTTCTCGCTTTTTTTGGATTTTGTTTTAAATACTGGGTGGTTTGGCAAAAGGTAGGTGTTTGATGCAATTCAGAACGTAAGTCAAAAGACTGCAAAAGTGGAAAGAATTAATTCCTTACTTATCCCATCCTTCTGCACTGCAAACCCAGGCTCCTTCAGGGAACAGATGACATGACACCATCAACATACTGATGCACAGTGAGCAGTCGCAGTTCTCACTGCATGGTCACCTTGCTGCCAGGGCCGTGGAGACAGACTGGAGCCAGCTGCCAGCTAGCAACTCCCAACAGTATAGCCGTGGCTGCTGGGGGTTCAGTGCTGGGTCTTTCCCCAGCCTCTCCGCAAGTTTGCAGTTGGCATGAAATGTCATGCTGCTCACAACATTCTGCTCAGAGGCCAGGCTGCCAGTGAAAACCAGCTCTACTGTTCAAACCACTCCTCTAAGTTACACAGTCAGCTTTATTCAGTAGGGAAATAGTCGGCTTGGACAGGTGATTGCATTCTCAGTTATCTCTTCCTTGAAAATCTTCCTCTGTGTTTACATCCTGGACCTCTTCTGGCATTTGGACGAGGCTGATGCTCGTCCATCAGTGCAGCGATCCAAAGATGTACAGGGTGTATTTGTGTACACAATGACCTCTCCTAAAAGAGGCAGCTTTAGTGTCGCCTCTGTCCTGCATCCCGCGCCTAGTGAAACCAGTACGTTTTGAGCTGGAGCTGAACAAGTGGCCTCTTAGCCAGAGCAGCCATTCGAGGACTTCTCTCCCACGGCCTTGCTTAAGGATGGAGGGGAGGCAGCTCCTCCCTGCTGGAACGGACCGCTCGGGACAAGGGCTGGGCAGGCCTGAGGCCGGCTGTGCCGCCAAGGTGCGACCCGGCAGAGCGGCTCTGCCCGCGCCGTCCCCGCGGCGCCCCCGCTCCCGCTCGGCAGCACCGCCGCGGGGCCCGGCAGCCGCGGCAACCAGCCTGCCGGGGCTTCGCTTTGGGTTCTTTGCTCTTTGGGGTTCTTTCTGACTAAAATGACGTTAAAGACCGGCGGATTTTACAGGAAATTTTGCGCAAACTTTCTGGAAAATCACCGGTAACTGCGGTGGGATTGGGGGCAATACATCGAGGGGAATACATCGGAGGGAATACTCGGCTCTCCTTTTACTGCCCGGGCAGTGGGTCCGCCGTGTAGGTTTACCTACAAAAACAACCTCAGCCCCGAGGCTTGGCTCAGCACTCACGGTGCACATGGTGCAGACACTGGTATGGCCATGGCTACAGCATGGCCACAGGCACGGAACAGGCCACAGCCACAGCATGGCCACAGCCACACCACATTACAGACAAGGACATGGGCACGGCACGGACCAAGCTACGGCCACAGCCACTACCACAGCGTAGTCATGGCCACAGCACGGCTATGGACAAGGACACTTGTCATGACCATGGTCATGGCCACAGCCACAGCAGAGACATGGACAAGGACATAACACAGGCTAAAAGGCCATGAAAATGAGCACGGCCATGGGCAAAAAGGCACTTGTCCATGGCCACAGCACAGGCACAGGCAAGGACAAGGACATGGCTACGGCCACAGTCAAAATGTCATGGGCGCAGCCACGGCCAGGGCCATGCCACCAACAAGGCCACATGTACAGACACAGACAAGGACACAGCCCTGGGACGGGCACAGGCTACAGCACGAACACTAACACAGACACAGGCACGGACAGGGGCACAGCACGGTCAAGGATAAGGATGAGGATGAGAATGCGGACAGGGACGCGGACACGGCAGGACATGGCAGTGCCGCCCGCCCGCCGCCAGGGGGCAGCGCCGCCGCGGGCCGGGCCGCGCGCTGCCCTCACTGCGCCTCGTCAGCCAGCGCGGGGCGGGGCTGATGGCGGCCCCGCGGCTGAGGCGAGCGCTGGCCGGGGAAGTCGCTTCCGTCTGCTTGCCCTGCTCCATTGCGGTTCTCTCCACTAAGACGAGCAGCAAAAAGTGAGTGGGGTTGAGGTCCAAGAGAGAAGATCAGATCAGTTCAAAAGAAAGGAGGAGCGAGAGAGAGGGCACATAAACAACTTCCCAGCTTTTCCTGGTTTTCCAAGTGGAAAGGGGAGTGTCTGCAGGCTAGGCGAGGCTCTGGCCCACATGCTTCACAGCGCAGGCGGTGGCGGGTTTCAGGACTGGAACAGCTGGCAGTAGATTCCAACACAGCAAGTTCTGTTTCCCTTTGCTTGAGAGATCGAGTGCAAAGGGCCAACCACCAGTCAGTTTGGGGAAAAAAAACCACAGAAGCAAAGGAGAATTGAAACAATCCGTCTCTTTTGATGATAAGGGTGAGACGGCACGAATGTCATCCAAATTGCTGAGTGTGTGAGTATTGCCTGTGTTACGCTCACAGGTCAAACGCAATGTGAAGTCAATGGGAATGCCCGATTGCCAGGGCATCTGGGCTGTGTCAGAAAGACTTGCTGCTCTCTGCTTTCTTAGAGCTAAAAGAAAATTCAGTAAGTTGTGGAGTTGAATGCTTCATCCTCCTCCCTCCCAAGCTTGAAAAGGTGACAGCTGTTTTCTCAGGGCCTGTTATTTTAGACACCTCCATGATTTATATATCTCTGCAATCATGGTGGGTGGAATTGCATGTCACAGACGAGCTGAAAATAACTTGTATATGCTCATATACAGACTCTGATATCTACTGGCCCATGTAGAAAAACTCCAAATTGAATCACGTGATCCGTGCCTGGCGGGTGCATTAAGATGTACTGATGGAGCAGTGGTGGGTTAAAGTGAAGTTGAGGTGTTCAGTGAAGAGTACTGGCAAGGACTCTGTGGTAACACTGTGCACAGCAGAACCACCATGGCTTAGCCCTCGTGATTGTTTTGCTAAGATAGGCAGTCACATATGGAGGGAAAAATCATATATAGAACAATATGCAATTCCCTGTGGGATCATAGAACTGGACAGACTGCCTTTGGCCTCTGCGTGAGAGGTTCAGAAGATACCTGGAAAGGTGTTTGTAGAACTTGGTTTGGATGTGTGGGTCCTTCTCACTAGAAACAGTACTTGGGGAAATTTTGCTGTGGGACCTTGGAGTGTCAAGCTGTTAACACCTGGTCAAGTATTTTGGGATAGCCTGATGGAAGGGGCAGAGAAATAAATATGTTACATCCAGGCATGCCCAGCACTCCAAAAATCTGTTAGGTGTCACTGTGTATGGCACACAGGCACACACCAGGGTGAAGGCCCAGTGTCAAGGCGGAGACGTAAGGGGATGTTGTTCTCAGGTGAACTTCTCAAAAGCTGAGGTTTCTGCTTCCCTCCATCTGTGGAACCCAGGGAATTTCACCCAGCTGCTTAAGTTTTCCCCTGAGTGCTGCCTGGCTTCCTTTGGGTACAGCTCAGAACCAGCATTCTCTGGGAGACGATAATATTTTCCAAGGCTGGGCCATTCATCCATGCCAGCCTCTAGAGAATATGGAGAAGCTGTGCAGAAAAGGCCCTGGGCACACTTGTCCACACCCTGTAGCCCGCAGTAGACATTCACAGCCTGCCAAGGTAAACTGTGTGAGCCTGAATCACAGCCAGGTCTGCAGCAAAAGCAGTGAGTGAAGAGTGGCAGAACTTTAACTCCTTGGGAGGGGCTGAAGACAGAACTCACAGCAGACGACCCAAATTGGTGGCGGAAGCCTGTATCTCACAGGGTTTCCTGCCAGAGTTTCTGCTGTACCGCATCTCATTATGCACTTAAAGCCTTTTGGTTTTGTTCTGGGAGTTTTTTTGTTGGGTTTGGGGCTTTTTTTTCCCTCAAACAACACCTTCAGGCATTTGTTTCCACTTACCTGAGTTCTTCCCAAACACTGGGCTTAAACTTACTGTTGTCTAGTCCCCTTTGATCACCAATATGTGATGACTCAGGTCTGGAGCCTAAACCACTGCTTTCACTTAGAAATCATTCAACCTACCTGTCTAATTCCTCAGAGATTATCTGGATTCAGCATGTGCTCCTTTCCCTTTTGTCAAAGCCCCATGACTTCCAGTTTTCCCTTGCATCTTCCAGTGTCTCTGTCCCTGTGGTTGTTTGCTCTTCCTTTTCCTTCTTTTGAGTCTCTCTGCCACAAAGTGTCACACCAAGTTATATTTTCAGATATATGGTGGAGGTGATGGGGATGTTAATTCTGCTCTCAGAAGTTCCTTTAGAAAAAAAACTATTCTTTAAACACCCACAAGACAAAAGGGTTTCGTTTTTAAGCTGACAGACAAATAATTTGTCCACAGTCAAAATGTTTGTGATGATAATGTTGCTGTGCCCTGAGGGGAATTAATTAAACTATCCTGCTACAAATACCTCAGTCCAGCAATGTCCCATGTTGTATCCTGGTCTGAGACTCATGGCCCCACTCCTGCAGGAGGAAAATGCTTGCATCTTTGGAAAACTTGGGTGAAATTTTAAGTGACACAGCAGTAGTAGAACCCAAGGTCTTCTGCTGGTTTACTCTTATCCAACACAATTTAGATCCCTCTGTCCAAAACTTTGGACAATGTCAGTGGGATAAATGGTACAAAATTGCCATTTTGTCTGGGAAGATGTTGGATCTATTTGCTCTTGCAATATCTTGATGTGTGTGTGGCTGTATGGGAGTGTGGCAATGGGTCCCCTAATCTTCAGCCTGTGACTGTAGTGGAAAAAATAACATAGAAATGTAATGTAATTGTTTTTTAAAAAATTGTGCTATGTTTTGTTTGGTTTGGGTTTTGTATTTTTTTTTAATGCCTCCCAGTTCTCCTTTACTAGTTGCAGTCCAGGAAACTTTGTGTTTATTAAGCACTGTGTAAATTTGCAGCTCTCTATAAATGTAAAATCAATAGGAGTGATAACAGCAGCGTAGTGCTCAGTCCAGCCCTGGTAATAACCCAAGAGTGCTAATTCCTTGATAAGGTCACTTGCTTCACACAGGCACCTCCTCTCCATGTGAAAACACAGGGTGCAGCACAGAAGATATTTGTGTTCCCTGACACGACAGAAGACACTGAAAACTTGTCATTTCCAGCAGGTGACAACGGCGGGCAACAATGTGAAGGACTCTTTACAATCTATTGTAGAGGCCTTCATCCCTCCACAGAGCACTGCAAACATGTTCTCTTCTAGGAAATCAAAATCTTAGCAAACATCTGGTATCCTTTTTTATCTCTTCTCATAAGCAGATGAGAAAGGGGGATCTCCAGTAACCTGATGGAGTAAGCAAGATTGTATTTCTGGAGGATGAGCAGAGCAACAAAGACAAAGTCATGTGTGGCTGACCCCTCTGAACTGTGGTCTCCATCAGTGATGCCCCTACTCATAGCTTGTATGTGGTCCCTACATACACTCAGCTGGGCACTTTCTGGGGTTCACTGAGTGTATGTAGGGACCACACTCCTGCCTTTCCCCAGGTGTCCTGCTGCTCTGCCTGCTCAGGCTGCCCCACTTCCATCCAAACAGGTTGGTGGAAGGGCTTTTGGCTTTTCACAGCTGGAACTTTACCACCAGGAGCAGTAATTAAGTATTTACTGTGGAAAAATAGCTTGTATACCCCTAATGTCTGATTGTCCCCTCTACCTTCTACTGTGGTGATTCTCTCAATGGTAGAACTGCTGCAGACTCAAGCTTCCCTGCGGTCTGCTCCTCTTCCCTTCCAGGTCCCCTTCAGACATGGTTTAGGGTTCCCAGGTGGCTTACAGCCATCCATCTGGCCTCTGTCATGACCTCCCCATGGAATTTGCTCGTAGAGCTGAGAAACCAGGATAAATCTATTCCCTCCTCCTTTCCCACCACTGTCAGTGAGCCTGCTGTCATTCTGCTCTGTGGTGGGTCCATAGTGACCTTCGGGCTTTTTCTTTGCCATACTGCTGCAGTGAATCCAGTCCATCTGCACATCAGTACCCTTCTGTTTTCTTCTTCCCTGACCTCTGCCTGCTATCGCATCCCTAGGTCCAGTGACCTTAGGCACAGGAAGAATCCTCCTTAAGACCCTATCCCAAAGGGGGCAACTCCTGTATTAAATAATAATCATACAGTAATAATCACCAGAGGGACTTGGGGAGGTCTCTGAAGCTATATCCCCCTCTCCAAGGTGGAGTCACCCAGGAGCAGAGCATGACGTGGGCGTTAAATGCTTCCAGCAATTGGGATGCCGCAGCCTCCCCAGCAGCCCCCTGCGGCCCAGGAGACCGTCCTGGAGAAAAGCACTTTCTCGAGCGTAGCACAAATCCTTCCTCCTGAGAATAAGGCTGATGATTACTTGTACTTCTTCTGGTGGATCTGGAGTAGAACTGATCATTGTCTGCTTTATAGAACCTTTTATATAATAACAAAACAGCTTTTAGAGTAACTGAGAAAGAGGCGTTTGCTCACTTGCAAAGTCAGGAAATTCCCTGCCAATGGACATTCTTTGTCAGGGATCCTTTGCCAGCATAGGCTGAGCACTAAGCCCCACAATCTGCATTTTCCTTTTGAATGACTCCCACAAAATAAACCAAATATCACATCCAAGGAGATTTATTACATCCCTTCCAAGGGCGAAGCATTCCTCAGCTACATTCCATTTCTGTCTTTTGTGCTTAGGAAAGGGGAAAAAAATCGCTGTGATGCCGCTGGATCCCACCCCTCCAGGGCTTCTGTCGTTAATAAAGTCGAGCAGCTGGAGCCAGATTTGTCAGACTAGTTCTGAATGGCTGGCTCTCTCCTGCTGCAAAAGCAGCACCATCAGAGCAGTGCTAGGATTCCTGCTTCTGCTGAAAGACTAATAAGTCGTGGCACCACGTTTCCTCAGTAAAACCACCTTTTGTTGTTCCCGGTGACACCTTATCCCCGTGGCAGCAGCTTGCCAGAGTGGATCTTCTCGTTTCCTAGCTGCTTTGCCTTCTCCTGCCTCTGCATGATGCAAGAGTTTGCAATGCTTTTTGGGAGCTCAGATGTGCTCACAATTGCTTGAAGCAATTGCTCTCTCCAGGCTTT